ACGTAAAAAAGCTTACCTTTGCTTGTTCGTTTCGGCCATCATGCAGAAAAAGGCACAAAAACCAGACGTTGTCAGCACAACGCCAAATCACTCAAACTGGCGTTGTCGGGAGAACGCCAACGTCCAGACAACGTATATTCGTGACTAAATTATGATAATTATGTAAAATTATGCAAGTCCCAGGTCGCCACTTCCCGTCGCGTTCCCAAACTCTCTATTGTTGCCATAGCAACGGCAGTTCTGTAACCTTTGTTACAAATTTCAATCCTGTTAGATGTTACATGACTAGTAATAATTCTCAAAATAATTAAACACCCAACAAAGTTTCTACGGATCTGAATTGTGAATTTCCTATGTTTTTAGAAACTGTATTGAGCCACCTTAAAGGGCAAAACTATGTCCTTTAAATCTTTTTTTGGATTACTGTTTAAATAAGTGCTGGAATTATATCTATCATCGTACTTTTCTCACCAATACAGGGTGTATAAAGAAAACTGAACAGATTTGAAATTGCTCTCAATTTCGCATAACAGATATTACTATTAGTATCCAGTTTTTTATACATATATATAGTTTTTGGGGGTACTTATAATGTAGAATAATGAAAAAAATTTCTCGAACTCAAAGTTTGTAAAGCAGGGGTGTGTGTTTTTTCCATCAAACTAAAAATGGCTTGCGCACGAAATTTAAAAGCTTTAATCGTATTTTGAGTTAATGGGTGGAAACTTTGTTGGGTGTTTAATTACTGTACAAAATTTCAGATAATTTGCTTTAGTTTAAGCCCTTCAACTATTCATTTTCCCTAAAAATCAGCCTTTCGCATGCTTAATTATGCCTTTACCTAATTTGCTTATTGCTGACATAAGCAAATTAGGCAAACGCATTAATTAAGCATTAATTAATAACCCAACAAAGTTTCCATCCATTAACTCAAAATACGATTAAAGCTTTTAAATTTTGTGCGGAAGCCATTTTTAGTTTGTTGGAAAAGATATACACCCCTGATTTACGAAATTTGAGTTTGAGAAATTTTTTCATTATTCTACATTATAAGTGCCCAAAGAAACTATATATATAAAAAACTGGATACTAATAGCTGTTTCGCGAAATCGAGAGCAATTTCAAATCTTTTTATACACCCTGTATTTTTTTGTTATACACCCTGTATTGTGTTTTGATTGGTTCATGACTTGCACACACATGTGAATAGTGTACGTGGGTATGACGTAATTTCTGAAATAAATCTGAACCAAGAACTTCGGTTATTCAGCCAATAAGATATGTCAGTGAACAGCTTGAATATTGAGGATCATTCCTGAAGTAAAATATTATTTCGTTTATTTTTTTCTAGAAATATCCAGATCCATCAAGCGACCAGACTTCACGAATGATATCAACGAGTAAGCCTTGAGATGTTGACACTACATAATCACAATAACACATCATCTAGGCAGTGAATAATACAGGATCACACTACGCATGCTTTCAATTAAAACCATAAGTCTGAAAAACTTTACATTCCTGCCATGTATCATTTGTTGGTTGAGTTGTCAAACCTTCACTAAAATATACAATGACTCGAAATTTTGAGTAAAATTACTCAACTTGATGAGTAAATTCTTTTAACCATTGTTGAGAAAGAGGAAAGCTTTACTTAAAATTAAGTGATTCACAATTAGTACATTTTACTCACAAATTTGTGTCAGCTAGGTTGCATTATTTCACTGACGTTTTTGAGTCAAATTACTGAGCGATATTAATTTTACGATGTGCTATACAGAAGAACATCTTCATATGTTGGTTTAGCCTGCATGGCAGGCGGTCTAAAATACCGCCTGCTGGGTTTGGCAGTGTAATTTGATAACCGAAATTATTTATTTAGGCAAGCAAAAGAAACGTTACGACAGTGGTAAAACCTTGGCCGAAATAAGCCGAATTGCCGGTTCAGTTCATTTAGGAATCGAAGTTAATTCTACCTCGGAACTATCCGACCAAGTTTGTAAACCGTGTGAGCGAAATATCCGAAATACAAGCGAACTGATTGCCATAATCAAACGAGACATAAACGCGTTGAAAAATCCTCAAATAAAAATATCCTCAAATAAAATTAAAAAAAAATAAAGCGACTGCTACGCAAGCTAGTGTACGTTCGAACAAATAGACAGTTGTATATTAAAAACCTCAGTTGCCAATATGAACTATGCCCTAACGAAGCCGTGTGGTAACGAAAGCCTTAAAAAGTTCAGAAAGTGAAGCGGCTATTAATAGGCATAGGCGTAATACTCCTGTTATAAAACCCGTTGCAAGAAAGACTATACGGCCGTCTGTATCTATTCTCGTTATATTTTCTCGCGCCAACAAGAACGATGTAAAAATCAAGCTTTTCCCATAGAGTGGCCAAAACATTCTTTCCAAGGAGTAAATCTTTAACTGCTATCTCTTGCTCGCGTTTGACAATCAGTTCGCGTTTCGACTTTCGAGAAGCGTTCAGTTTTACAACACCTATTAATTAAAGCGAACGCATGCATCATTAAAGTGTCAAGCGTATGTTTACATATTAAAGTGCATTCACTTTTGAGTGACAGCGGCTCAGACTCGCAGCCAATCATCAATTCCCGTCCACTGGTGGACGGGGAATTCGATTACACTGCCAAACCCAGCAGGCGGTATTTCCCAGGCCTGCCCAATTTTAGGAACCGCCTGCCATGCAGGCTAATGTTGGTTTAGCCTGGGCGTTTAGTACGGGCGGGAAAAGAGGAAACGCCTACCCAAATGGCTATGGCAAATTTGTTTTCGCCCATTAAGGATGATTGACGTTTTGTAATTAGCACCTTCACCCATTATCCAATCATAGTCGATATTTATATTTAGCATCATGCATGCTTTTTGCTCGGCAACTAGGGAGATTTGCAGAGAGTTTATGTACTACTTAAAACATGAGCAGCAGTGTTTTATCAGATATAAAGATAGTCTGATAAAACACGCACTGCGAATGTTTTAAATTGCTTCCAAAACGATCGATCTAGTATAAGTTCATTGGCGAAATAGCTTTCAAAAAATTCGTTGTGTATGTAGAGAAAATCAAAGTTAAAGTTTATGTAAATCAAGGAAAATCTCTATCACATATAAAGATACACGTTTATGATTTTTCTATGTGTTTTTTCCTCATGAATTATTAATGAGTTTTTGAAGCTATTTTAGACAACAGTCACAACACAGAGCTTTTATCTTTTAAAAGGCTCCTGAACCACGGTTGTTTAACGTATTCTGCCGTTTAGCAAATTAACTGCAAATAACAGTTGAACATGTTTTGAAATGTTATTCTTAAAATCATCATCCAACCTCATAGCTGCAATGCCAAGTGATGTAGCCTCAACAATTTGGTCTTGAATTATACTTTAAAGTGAACAAATAACAAAACAACTGAATATTCGATCCCTGCTCGGGCAAGCTTTGATTTTCAGATTTTCCGTATTCCGTAGGAAGAATCGCGATAACCGGCGTCTTCACCACGTAGCAAATTAATAATAGACTTTCTATATTCTGGTTTCAACTGAATTTCGAAGCCTAAATACTTGAAATATAGGAGTTCCCTCGAAAGAATTATTAAACAGGTGGCATATTTTCGATACGCGAGCAAAATTATTGTTGACATTTGAGTTACGTAATTAATTCCGTTGACGAAATTGACCAATGGGGAGCTTTTCCGAAGATTCTTCGGAGAAGAGCAAATGAATCATAGGCATTTGGGCAGGCGTTTATTTAACGACGCCCTCTCTTCTCCCGCCTGCACTAAACGCCTGCTACGCAGGCTAATGTTGCATGGTTGTGAGAACAATCTGCTTACCTTTTTTTAGCAGGCCAAGAGTTGTTATCGTCCTGTTATGATCTACTGGAAAGAAACACGTATGCAAATGCTTACATTGTCAATACTGTAACTGTGTGATATTATTTCACTGTGAGACAAATTGCCTTAGCGAATAAATTGGTTTTCTGTCCATCGTAGAGATTCAACCAATTCCAATTTATGACCGTTTTAACCAATTGTTTTTTTTTACAGCGAACAATACATTGCTCTTAAATTTTATTTATTAATTTTCACAATTTGTAATTGTAGTTCATAAACCAGTGAAAAAGCTTTTCTCACACCGGCCAATATCCGCCATTTTGGGTGACGATCTTCCCTTGTCTAAGAATCTGCAATTTGAAAAGTAACTTGTCAAAGTTAAGACAATGTGAAAAGTGACTTTTCAGATTTACCATAAACACACAACTAAACAGTTGTTAAGAGTCATATTTCGCGGTACATACACTGTAAGGCACCACCTCAAAAATGAAAGAAAAACGGAGTGTGAGAAAGGCTATTTGACTGCTAGAAACGGATGAATTAAAAATCTTTCATTACCTTCGCTGGGATGTTTTGTTTACACTTATGTTTCGTTAAACTAAAGTAATGAATCAGACAATTATTAAATTGCTTTAATTTTACATTTTCTAGATCGTCACCCACTGGTACGTACATTCTACAGGAAAATGGCACTTCGTCACCATATAAGGTATATTGTCACATGACTGATATTCCCGGATGTGGAGGCGGTGGTTGGACACTAGTCTTAAAAGTTGATGGAAATAAGGTACTATTGTGGTAATCTACCCCAATCAATCGATCAATTAATCCACCGAAACAGAAATCTTATCTTCTTCGGCACTATTTATGTTTCTTCAGAACACATTCAAATATGGATCACCTTTGTGGACGAACAATGAAAGCTATGCAGTTGAAGATGGACTTGAAGGACTAACAGAGCGAGAAAGTAAACTGGGCTCTTATTGGAACACTCCTTTTAAGAAAATATGTCTTGGCATGGCCGTTAATGGTGATAAGAAATGGATGATGTTGGATTACGAAGCTAGTTCGCTGTACAGTGTGATCGCAGATGGAAAATACCGCAGCACATCCGCTGGAAGAGCGACTTGGCTCTCCCTGATCGCAGACTCTTCCTTGCTGGCCTATTGCAACTATGAAGGTTTTAATATCAATCTCAAAGTAGCTCAGACTAAACTCTGGCATATGTATGTCCGACTTGGTCTTGTTGCCAATAATGAAGATAATTGTGCAAGCACTGATTCTTGGATAGGTTTCGGTGTGGAATACGTAGGATGTGTTGAGAGCCATCAGGCTTGTGGTAATCGTGTACACTGCTCAAGTAATGTAGACCTTCCAGCATTTGGATACATATTGGTGCAGTAAAGCAAACTGTTTTATCTAACTGCGTCTTGAAAATCTTTTTCTACAAATGCATTGATCACCTCAAATCTTTTGGCGTGCTGTAACTGTTATATAGCTAGTGTTTAACGTTAAATGCGATTATCTGTTTTGTATTCACGTGGCCGTACAAGATAAATGCAATGTATTCCGCCGGAAAGCAAAAAGGCATATATATATATATATATATATATATATATATATATATATATATATATATATATATATAACGGGTGGCCCAAAAAAAAGTACTCCTGTTTGATTCGTAATAACATCTAAACAAGTATAGCTTTTAAAGAGAAATAACTTGCATCAAATAGAGGAAGGACTTAGACTTTGATATATTACAGTTGTATTTCACTTAAAAATTCACGGAGATATTAATCTTTAAATTCGGGAGGATATTTCTGGATGTGTCTGAAATATGCAAAAATCGGCGTATCAAATATTAATCAAGATTTGCCCGACAAAAACATGCACTATTACCAGTAAATAAATGACACTTGACAAATTGTTTATTATGAAACAAAGTATTATTATATCTACAAAATACAAGCAAGATTTATTCGTCCGAAATTCGCGTGTGTTCCTAGCACGAATAAGTTTCCTTATTTCATGAGACCACTGCATCGCGAAGGATCGTCATGGATCGTTCGTAGTTCTGAATTAGGGCATGCTGTCACAATGGAATTGTGAAGCACTTCTAACTTCTGCAACGTTCTGAAATCTTGTTAAGAACACCCAAACTCTTTTGCCTTTTCTTAATCTTGGCAAGTTCAGAGTAAACTGAGAATTATATGAAACACAATCAAACCATATAACTCCATAAGACATAACAATTAAGCAACTCCCCAGAGACATGCAACATTTTTGGAACAAAACGTAACAAAATAGTAGCGTTGATACGGTGATATCGATGTGTATTTGCAAAAAGCAATATTATTTCCTTCAATAAAGAATAATATTCATCCTGCTCTAACCGAGAAATAATCAACTCAGTCTGTTTGAACCCATTAAAAACATAAAAAAATTAGGCTATTTAAGAAAATTTTAAGCGCCTGCCTTCCACGGTCTTTCATGTACTTGTAAGTTTGTGAAGACCTAATATTAAATACTTGCATAATTTCGAACGTTCATATTTCAGGAAACAATGAGCTAAGACTTACATGTATAAGATGTCTAAATCTACGCCATATCCTTTACAAACCCTAATGATAATTCGCTGAAATACAAGTTAGCCTGATATGTCATTAAGCAAACAAACGCTGGAGTTAATATTTGATATGCCGATTTTTGCTAATTTTAGACACATCCCAAAATATGCTCCCGATTTTGAACATTAATATCTCCGTGAATTTTTAAGTAAAATACAACTGTAATTTATCAAAATCTAAGTTAGTCCTTCTCTTTAAAAGCTTTACTTGTTTAGAAGTTATTACGAATCAAACAGGAGTACTTTTTTTTGGGACACCCGGTACATATATATATATATAATATATATATATATATATATATATATATATATATATATATATATATATATATATATATATATATATATATATATATATACTATTACGCTCCTTCACTTCGGTGTTGTTGAGCACTCTGCGGAGTTGTTAATGGATGTCTATTAGCGATAATGCAAACCTCACTTCCCTTGTGGTCGTTTGAGCACTCTGGCTCCATTACGCTCTGCGCATGTCTGGATGCGTTGAGTCACCGTGTTGTACCACATGCCTTGGTGAGAGCAAGTTCATGGGGTATTAATACGAGTGTGTCACGTATCTAGACGTGTACCAAGCTGCACTGACGAGGCGTTGAACGCCGAAACATGCATGTCTGCAGATTGTATACTATTACGCTCCTTCACTTCGGTGTTGTTGAGCACTCTGCGGAGTTGTTAATGGATGTCTATTAGCGATAATGCAAAGCTCACTTCCCTTGTGGTCGTTCGAGCACTCTGGCTCCATTACGCTCTGCGCATGTCTGGATGCGTTGAGTCACTGTGTTGTACCACATGCCTTGGTGAGAGCAAGTTCATGGGGTATTAATACGAGTGTCTCACGTATCTAGACGTGTACCAAGCTGCACTGACGAGGCGTTGAACGCCGAAAC